TAAATAATAATTAATATTATCATAATCTTATTTAGTTTTTATATTTATAAAATTATATATAAAAATTTAATAAAATAACTAAAAATCATTAAACACAAAATTAATTAATTTACATATAAAATATTTTATCAATATAACTATGATTATTTGTTGAATAATATTTTATATATATTTCTTCATAAAACATTTTATTTTTGAGTGAAAACAATGGATGAAGTTGGATGGATTAGACGTTACCTTGGTCCTTTAAAATGAAAATTTTATTACATGATCCTTGAAGATAATGTAATTATAAATTAGTTTAATAAAAATTATGATTTGATCTCTTATAATATTTCTAATTCACTTTGGCCACTCAATAAAAATCATGATTTCGTTTCTAGATGTAATAAAATCATATATATATATATATATTGATAAACTAAAGAATGAGTCATATGTAAAAAAGATAATTATGAAATTATATTTGAAGTTTGGATTATAGTTTTAAAATTGCTAGTTGGAATGCCAAAAGGCTGAAAATGGAATAAATAAGCGTATGAGTTAGTTGGAAATTAATGGAGATTATTGAAAGAATACGACCAGAACCTGCACGAGTTAAATGAAGATGATGAAGGCTTTGGCTTCAGTTGTATTTACCTGTTATGCTTGAATATTAAAAGATAGGGTAAACTATACATTTAGTACTTAAATTATTACTTCTATTTTATTTTGATACTTAAATTTTATTTTTTTTTCAAATTAATATCTAATGGTTAGTTTATATTTCATTTAAGAGGCCCGCTATTAAAAACTTAACGGTAATGTCGATGTGTCGCCGTAAGGTAATATCATATCATTATTAAAAAATAAAAATATCATGTTAGTAGTTCTATTATTTTTTTCACGGCGAAATATTAAATTGAAATCAAAACGAAACGTTGAAGTATGATTTTTTTTTATAAAAAAATTAAATACTAAAATAAAATAAAAATAATAATTTAAATATTAAATATGTAATTTAACCTAGATAATATCAACACATTTAGAAGATGGGAGTAATAATTGCGTGCAGGTTGTGGAGTGGAGTCCAGGGTCCACTTTCACCTAGCACATGCCATCTTAATTTCTACAATTTTTATGATACTGTTCGAGTTATCTTGCTTCTAACTAAATATATAAAGTTTAAATTCTTTTATTATGTTTTTTCTTCTTCTTTTGAATTCAAGTTTTTTAATTGTGGAACAAGTAATATGGATCAAAATAATTGATTAATTAAACCAGTAGGTGGACTAGCTAAGTTTAGGGATAGTAAATGGGTATAATTTTGTGGATTTCATATTATACCTGTTTCAATTGGAGTAGGGATGGGTATAAGTTTATTGGATAATGAACGGGTGTGGATGTAAAAAGTCATATCTGTTCTGGATAGTGGGCGGGTGATGGATTTAAGATCTTACCCGTCTCGCATCCACCCCCACTGACTTACCTACCATATAAATTTTGGCCCATTGTGAATTTAGGTATAATATCAGAGACTATTCTGTAAATCTTAAAATTTTATAGGACGTGACTTATAATTTAACCAAATGTTAGGACATAAACATTTTTAAAATTGAAGAATGTGGTTTCTCCTATCTCAAATTCTCAATATTCAGAACTAGTTTCTTAATAGATGTGATTGTATTATGTTTTGTTGCTTATATAATCTGTGAGGTTACTGTCAGACGGATATGAATGGATACATGTGGGTACGGGATAGGTGGCAAGTATCTAGTTGGATAGTGGAGGCGGGTGTGGATTTGTGAATGTACTCACGTAGGTGATGGGTAGGTACTGGATACAAAAGTTTTAAGTGGGTATGAAGATAGAGGAAGGGGTACATGCACTCAACCTGCCCGTTTACTATGCCTAGCCGAGTTTTGCTTTAAATTGTAGGGTAAATTACATAAATAATCATTAATATTTGAGTAAGTTTTCTTTTTCCACTGAATTTTTAAAAGTAACCTATTGGTCACTAACGTTATCAATTTGTAACAAAATGGTCATTCCACTGTCATTTCCGTTGAATTGATGATATGACATCGTTAAAATAAGGTTAATATTTAGTTTTACCTCTAAATTACTGCTAAAATATCAAATAAGTCTTTAAACAATGATTTTATATCTAATTTAATTACCCCTCCATCACCACCACCTCCATCGTATTCTTCCCTATCTTTCCGACCTCATCGGCTCCCAAACCCAAACGCAGTCGTCTCTCACTCCCATTCTGACAACAATAAATTGCAACTCCTTGATGTTTTTGCATGCTTATTGCCTGGTAAAAATGTGAACCCAGTTTTGTTCTTATTTTATTTCGTTTTGTTATTGAATTGACGAATATTCATCAATGACACGGTGAGTAAGAAGAGATCACTCCATTAGGTATTGATGATTTTTGCTATATAACAGATGATGCTTACACTAAGGAAGAGGTATTTACATCGCATCATTCCTTTCATCTTTGTTTTGGTCTTCCCTCTCTTTTTGTCGTCGTCTTTCGGACATTTTACCTATTAAAGCTTGACGACTTGCAGGTGGTTGAGATGGAAAAAGACGTTAAATTGTTGGATTTCGAAACTGGTACTCCCACTACTAGGAATTTCCTCAGGCAAGAATGATGTCCAAATGTTGTTAAGTTTTCGTCTTTTCTTTTTATAGTCATTCTAATACTTTTACCCTCGCCCAATGTGATTTGCTTAATGATAATAAGTATTGAATGTATGACAGTTTGTGTCTTATTCACATTTTGGTAATTTGTTGACACTACAAATTACTTGATCAACATAGATAACATCATTAAAAAAATGCCAAAAAGCTTGTGGTAATTTTGTGCTTTACAGTTACTGTGGTTTTCATTAGATTAAAATTCGGAGGTTTTAACTCGGAGTTTGATGGTTGTGAGGAGAAGGCCATTGAAATACCACTCTTAAAACCAATACAGAAGAGGGAAGTCTTTGTTTCTACATCTTTTTCTGAAGGAGAAGTGTCTATCTTCTCTAGGTTTCATATTATAAAATTAGTCTTGGAGATGAAAATGATCAATTGTAAGAGCAGAAGTAATCGTCACCCAGGTTTCATATTGTAAGGGCAGAAGCAATAATCACCAAGGAGTTGCAATTTGTTGTTGTCGGAGTGAGAGAGGGCCAAGTCCAAGACGATTGCATTTGGGTTCGGTAGCTGATGAGGTGAGACAGACGTGACGGGGAGGAATATGGTGGTGGTGGTGGAGGGATAAATTAGATATAAAATTATTACTTACGGATCTATGTGATATTTTAGCAGTAGTTTAGTGGCAAAATATTTTTGTAATGTTGCCACATCATCGATTTAAGGGAGATGATGGTGGAGTGATCTTTTTGTTACAAATCGATAATATTAGTGATCAATTTGTTACTTTTGAAACTTCATTGGCAAAAACAAAATTTTACTCAAATATTAATGAATATTAATGTGATTTACCCTAAATTTTAAGATAAATTATTTTATCATCATTTAATTTTCCAATGACTTTTCTTTTAATCATTTTATTGTTAAATAATGGACGATATTATGACATAATAATTTATATCAAAATAATATTTTTTATTCTTATATAAACTAAATTAGACTAAAATGATGTTGATTTGGATCCTTATAATTTTCTCCTTATTTTCCCTTATTTTTTATCTACTTTTTTCTCTTTCAACCAAACTCATATTTGAATCATTGTATCGATCGTCGTTCTTACCACTGTTGTTACTAGATGCTGATGAGTCTCAAACTTTTCTATCAAACTCATCTCACTCTTTTGAACATAAAATCGATGTCCATTTAAGTGAAAAAACACCTCAAGCTCTACTAATTTATCATCCGACAACTTCAATCCATCTAAACACCAAGATTTATTATCACTTCCGACCAACAATAATATCGTTCGGTATATTTTTTCTTCCCCTAAAAGTGCTTCAGTTTAGTTTCTTATAGAAACTTCACAAAAACCTCAAAAATTGTCTTAAACTTTTAAATTTCTCCATCGATCTTAGCATTCGACTATCAAATCACATTTTTTTAGATATATCGTTCACTTTATTGGTATATATACACCTTTTTACCATTGAGATTTTTTTTCAATCGCTAATGTGTTAAGGCGAAATATAATTTTTTTTTATCGAAAATAGGTTATAAGGTTTATAGTTTGATATTGATTTAAATTTTAGAGTTTGAGTTTTATGAATTTGGGTGAAACATATGTTAAAGTATGACTAAAAATATTGAAATAAATCAATCTGAAAATTTTGGGCTTAATGGTCGTTAACAATGATAGTCAGCGGGATAGTCAGTCTAAAAAATTAATAAAAAAAATGACATCCAACGCACAACTAAATAGATGAACGATCGAGTGACTAAAAAATAGTAATTCAAAAGCTAGTGATTAAATTAAAAATTTTAACTATTAGTGATCCAATTACGAGTGAGAGGAAAGTTTAGTGACCCAAATTGTAAATTTAATTATTCTTGTTTTATTACCCGCCAACAGCGGGGGAGTAAACTTAGGTAGAGTAAACTACACGTTTAGTACTGAACTATTATTTCTATTTTGTTTTGGTCACCCAATTGTTAAATTAACAGAATTATTGACATGATTTTTTAATTTTTCAATGATAATATCGTATTATGTTATGATGACACATTAGCAACACCGTTAATTTTTTAATGGTGGATGGCATAAATGAAACTAAAACGTACCATTTGATATGAATTTGATATAAAAAATAATTAGATGACCAAAACGAATAAAAGTGATAGTTAATATAATAAATGTGTAGTTTATCCTTAAATTTGTTCCTGGTACATACATGATACATATTGAAGCTTCCACCCTAAATATTGAATTCAAACATGAATTGAAATTTCAAATACGCTCTTAAAGCAAAATGGAGCTTATAATCACATAGCATTTATGAAATTTAGCATTCTGGTAGTTGAAAATCAATGAGCTGGCCCAAATCAAAACAAATAGACATACTATCGTTATGGATAGGATAGTCCACAACTACAAAGTGGACAAAATCATTTAATTTTAGTAAAAAAAACCCACGTTGTTTTTAACAAAAAATACTTACTTATGAGTTACACTCCAAATTTATTGCATCTAGTGAATTCGACGTTCACATGGTTTTCGATTTCTATATATATCGTCCCAAATTGTCGGAAAGAATCACAGAAACTGTTGTTTGAGGAGTGGAAGTAACTCATCTGCTACTATTTTATTTGTTCTTTGCGAGGGATGAATTGAATCCCAAAACACATACTTTTCTGCGTCCGGACATGTGAACGGAGTGTGCGGGTTGCACAGCACCGCCGTCTCCAACAACCCTGTTCCGCAACACCCTTTTTCTACAACCTCGAAACCTGTCACTCAACAACCCGTTTATAATCAATATTGATACCAAATCGTTGAACGTGGAATATGTATTAGACACGAATATCGAATACAAATGTTTAAGAAAACTTACCGTAGTTCGAGGGTCTTGTGATGAGCTGGAAAAGCAACTCATAAGCATCGGCGAAGAACACTTTTAACCCGGGGAGGTTCTTGCTGAGCTTAGCCACCGCAGCTTTTAACTTGCCATTGAATTCCAATGCAGCTTTGTTGCGGTCCTCCAAGCAGTCGAGAGGCTTTTTTATGTTCATCGTCCTCTCCACCGGAAAACACCCGAGCGGCAGGAGGCTGATCAGGGACAACTTCCGAGCTCCCAGGCTGTAAATCTGCTTAACGAAATTTTCGGCAATGCCGATGAGGAAATCCTGGTATTGTTGAACGGTGAAATGGGACCTTCTTCGAGGAACGCCGAAGTAGTTTAGGATGAAGTCGTTGGTTCCGATGTTGATCAAATATAGGGCGCCGGAAATCACCTCATTCGCCTTCTTGTCACCCAGGTGAGCTCGGAGTTTCTCTTGATACTCCTTGTAGTACTCCACTTCTTTCCACAGAGGAATCACTTTCTGTCAAATGCCACAAAAAATTTAATTAATGTGCTTACGCCTCCGTTCAGCACTCAATTACTATTCAAATGGTTGGTAGTTTGTTGAATTACCAGTAAATCGGACGTGGCATTGTCATAGCCGGTTGAAGCAGAACCGAAGGAAACACCGGTGGCAAAGTCCGAGATGCTAAACTTGGGATCCAAGTAGGCAGGGATAATAGGTTTCAGCCCGAAGCCCTCAGAAATGAAGTCCGGATGAAGTCGGCCATTGCAGAATCGTCCCGTAGGGGTGCCGCCGGGAAAATCACGGCCGTAAGGATCGAAATTGCTCTTGGCGAGTGTTGGGATGTAATTGTTGTTGCCGGTATCAACGAATGAGTCTCCGAAGGCGATGACAGCCGACACTTTAGCTTCGGAACTAGAAGCGATAGCTAAGATTTGAATGAAGAAAATCCAGGGAGTGATTATGGATGCCATGCCTGTTCGATGATCTCTGCAAGCATGGTGCAAGGATTTTATAGCCCTTTGAAACACGGAAACATATAGGACGAGTGAAGATAAAGCAAAAATACATTAATAGAATATGCATATATATGTATAAAGGCATTAAGTATACAAATGAAATCATAATAATTTCACGTAAGTAATTTAAACTAAAAAAAACATGAATAACATTTAACATTACATGCATATATGTACGGGAAAAAAATAATTTGGGGGTTTTATTAAGAAAAGTTATTATCATGGTTAAATTATTATCATTTTAATATTTTTTGTTATTTACGAAATTGATCTTTTAGTATTTTTTTAAAATTGAATTGATGTGTATTGTCAAGTTAATATACACACATACACATGTAATATATTAAATTTATAATTGAATTGTTATATATACTATGCACTTTTATATTAGTGTTAATGGTATTTTTTTTATTATGGTTTAATATAAAAACAACTATATAAATTATACCTAAAGATAACTTTAGATGTCTAAAACAAAAATTCGTTAAAAATAGTTGTTTAATATTTTCGAAGTTACACTTGTAGGTGCCTAATGTTTTTGACATTACATTTTTAGGTGCCTAACATTAAATTCGGTTGTTAAGTGACACATGTCAGGCTGATAAATTTTTATTTAAAAAAAAACTTATAATTATTATTATTATAAAAAACCCTAATATTTTTTTAAATCATAAAAAAATCTTCAAAATCCCAAAAACCCTAATTTTAATCTTTTATCAATGTCAATTACCACAAACTTCATCGATCGGGCTAAAACTCAGTTGGCGTGAGACTTTTCGAACTCCCACCGGCCAAATCCTCATACTTTACATGGCGATTGTAGCGAAAAATTAACGATATCAACAGAAAATTGACGATTGCAGCGGTTAAATGATTTTGACGACATGCGAGGATTCCGACGATTTAAGCGACAATTCCTCTTGTTGTTCGTTGAACTCCGATAAAATGGAGTGTCCAGCTACAAAAAACGATGATCAAGGCAACATTGTCGACGGTCGGCATGGGTAAAAGGATTTGGACTTAGAGATTTTAGGGTTTAAGAGTTATTTTGAAATTTAAATTTTTTTTTTATTTTTAAATAAAATTTTTAAAATTGTATAAGTCTGACACGTGTCACTTAATGACCTTATAATCTAGGCACCTAAAAATGTCACCTGTAAACTTTAGATACATATTTTTAACGAAAAAATCTTTAGACACCTAAAGTTAACTTATGCTATAGTTTGAGCACTTATTTTTTCATTAAATCTTTTATTATTGATAATGACGTTTGATTGTATTTATCATTTGTTCTAGTTATTTGATTGAATTTTTAATCATTTCTTAATAGGATCCATTTTTTATTATTAGGTGATTAGTTTGTGCACTTTGAACTTTTTTTAAATATTTTATTTATGCGATTAATTTACTCTAATTTTTAAATATTTTTGTTTTGAAATCTTATCTCTATTTAATAAAACTAATTAATTTAAGAAAACTACTATTTAGAAGTTGAATACATGGTTAGTTAATTAATTTGTATGCAATTCTTTTACCCCTTCATCTATAATTATTCATTGAATAATATATTTTTATAAATATATTTTTTACATAAAACATTTTTTACTCATATATTTACATGTGACAAAATTTAATATGTATATATATATATATTAATTTGATACATAAATGGTATATATTTTTCTTTTCCTTCGCAAACTCTCTACCATAATGGGTTGTGTCACGTGTAATGATATGTTTTATACATAAAGAAGTTTAGGTATAGTATTGCAAGTTGGAGGGGCAAAAGGCTGAAAATGAAGAAAGCGTAGGAATTAGTTGGAAATTAATGGGAAGTGATGAAAGAGTGAGACTGGAAACTGTAGGAGTTAAATGAAGACTGTTGAGAGATGGAACAACAGGTTTTGGCTTATAATATCCCCAACTCTTTTACAATATCATTGAATTTGGATGCATGCATTTTATTTGGTGGATTTGTCATCACCCTGTAGGGTTCTTTCTCACCTACCGCATGCCATCTTCATTTTTTAGATTTTTCATTTACTATTCCAACTATCTTTCTTTTTATTTATTTATATCAACTTCATATATATTATTTTCGCATTGTTTGGATTTGAAACTTTGCAGAACAAATAACTATGGTCAAAGGGATTGATTTATTAAACCACTATATGACATTCAACCAGTTATGATCATAATTGAAAATATATATTTAAATTTAATTATAAATATTTATATTTTAATATAAAATAAATTATTGAATTTTATTTTATTTTATTTTATTGATATTGTCACTGTATAATATACTTGAGAAGGTGAAATTGAGTATGATTGAACACTTAATATCCTTTGGCATAAAATCCTAAAATAAAACTAATAGATTCAAATAAAATACTTTTATTATTCCATCTATGATTATTTTTCAATTTTTTTTGTTGTCCTCCCGATTCTAAAGGCTTCGCCCTAACTAATTCGAATCACATACCTAGTTTTGGTAGGCGAGTATGTCAGAGATGATCTTTTGCATACACAATATCTCAAACTCGGGATTTACTTAAACGATATCAAACTGCTTACTTCTTAAATCAATTTCATTACTTCTTATTTTGTTTTTTTAATCTAGACTTTTGATTTTAGTCAAATTGTTTGTATAATATAACTATTCATTTTTGTTCCGACGAAACGAGCATGATAGAATTTTGTCTGAATAAAGTAGATATATATTGTTTCATTATTTATTCATTATTCTATATTAGATTTTAATGATTGTTTCTAAATTTGGCAAAAAAAATATTCGATAAATATTCTTTCTGAAGTTCTATTTTATTTTTTAAATTTATTTTGTAATTATATTTATATTTAATTTACCAATCGATTAATTTAAATAAAATATCATATATGTTCAATATATCTCGGTTGGTGGTTTGTGGAAAGTATGAACGACAAAGGAACGAGTCCATACTAGAGGTGGGTATACGGGCTACCCGCCCGTTTAGTCCGCGGGTTTTGACGGTGCGGGCTTAAACGGAGCGGTTTTAAAAAGCCCGCAATCATAAACGGTTTTGAATTTTAAGGCCCGCGGCCCGTCCGTTTAACCCGCTAGTTAAACGGACTTACCCGCAGCCCGTTAAATAAAAATAATTTTAAATGTTTTAAATGCAATAAAAAATAATGTTCTAACTTACTACACTTTTAAAAATGATCCAGTAACTTGAAAAGGAAGGTAGCACCGTCAAAATAATAAATAATATTTAAATTTTATTTTAAATAGCCGGAAATAATTATAAAATAATATTTTTTTAATTTTTTAATCATTAATATATATATATAACGATATAATTACTTAAACTCAAATTAAAAAAAAAACAATATTCACTTATAACACCAAATTGAAAAACAAATAAAACAATAACCACATTATACTTTTATAAAATACGATTATTTAAGGCTATAATATGAAAACACAGAAGTGTTTGCAATCAGAAATTCAAATAGAAAAAATCAACAAAGTCAAACATTATACAAATCTAACAATTTTTCTTTTGTAAAAGCATTTAAAAGTTGAAAAGTATGTTTTTAATTTTTTCTTTTACTTTTCTTTCTTATTTTTAATCCAAATATTATGTGTTATGTGATATATTATTAGAATATCACGTGACTTTTAATAATTAAAGAACGAAATGGATAACATACTTCATGAAAAAAATAAAGGTCAAAATTAAATAAAAAAAATCTTTAAATACCAAAGTGATAATGATGTAAATTTTATAAGACTAAAATACTATATAAATCTTTTAAATTTTATTTTTAAAATGAAGAATAATTTGATACATTGTAAATGAAAATAAAAATCAAGCAACGGTAGAATTATGACAAATGTCCTAATAAATTTAAGAACTATAATGGTTATAAGTAACATCATATTTATAGGTAATTTATTTTTTTTCTATAAAATTCTTTAAGTTTATTTTCTCTAGAATTTTATAAATTTTAAATTAAGAGTGTTATTGAGGACTTCGCGGGCTACCCGCGGTTATACCCATTAAACCCGCGAGTTTAACGGTCCGGGCTAAAAAACCCGCAATTTAAACGAGCTTCAATTTTTTATGTCCAAAACCCGCATGGGCCACGGGTTAAACGGGTAGCCCGCGGACCTTAGCCCATATACCCACCTCTAGTCCATACCATTAATCCTCCCAAATCTTTTGTTACATACCATCGACGAAGCTCGGACTACACCCAATCAACAACAAGGCCTCCTCACAATCAGTTTCAATTCGCAATACTAATCGGTTGTAAGTTTAACCTCCATGCAATAGACGACCTGTCAAATTCGTTACATAACTCCACATCGAATATCAAATAAATCCTTATAATTTCGAAAAAGTCCATGATCGAACTCCTCTTATGATCTTGAATAATACAACTGTATGTGGATGTCCGGGTGACAGACTTGCGAGCTCCGTCTGTATTAAGTTTAATCCAACTAACTGGTGGCGGCATCCAGGGAATCAGTTAAAATATTTTCATTTTAGCTTTTATGAATATATTGATTTTTTTTTTGTCAATAAATTGCAATTATTTTCAAATAATAATAATAAAAATGGGCTTTCTATCTAAAAGAAGTGAGAGTTTGGGTCGATCTGAAAAACAGAGCCCAGTTAAGGCCCAACAAGTTACAAAAGAAAGAGATTTAGGGTTTCTTTATTTAATCAGAAGCAAAGGGGGAAAATAGAAAACCAGGAAACGAAAGCAGTGAGCGGCAGCTTCTCTTCCTCTGTATCTCAAAATGGTTGCTTTTAGGGTAAGTTGGAAATTCTATTGCTCTTTTTTCTTTATGGGTTCGTTTTTTTTTGGCTAAAACGGTGAGGTGATTTTGGGTTTTCTTTTTTGTTTTTTTGAAAAAAAAAAGTTTCATCAGTACCAAGTGGTTGGCAGAGGTCTCCCAACAGAAACAGATGAGCATCCCAAGATTTACCGTATGAAGCTTTGGGCCACCAACGAAGTCCGTGCAAAATCCAAATTTTGGTCAGTGAATTGCATTTTCATTGTTATCCTTGATTCCCGTTTATTTGAATTTTGTTGATGGGCAATTGGGTGTCTTAGTTTTCCTTTGCACGATGTGTTTATTTTCGTGTTTAGGTATTTTCTGAGGAAGCTGAAGAAGGTGAAGAAAAGTAATGGACAAGTTTTGGCCATCAATGAGGTATTCACCATTGTTCTTCAGAGTTGAACCCTCATTAATGTAGCAGCTTAAGCAAAGCTTATTGCATTGCATTTCACCATATAGTATAGCTTATTTTACCTAATGTAGCTTCGTTCATTTACTTTTCATACTATTTAGTTGCGTCAACTAGTGATTGAAGATTACAATTATTCGTTTATGCTCGACTTATATTTGTTTATTCATAGTAGGGAGATTCTGAGTTAGGAATTTCATGCAGCTGGGTGTTTCTTCATTTCCATGTCGATGGAGATAAGCTTTTTTTAAGCTGCTGGAGTTAATTTGTGTGTTGTACTTGGTTATTCATGTCAACCTGTTTCTTTGATCTTTTGATTTGCCAAAATAAACTACCTGTGCTGTATATGTAGAACTTTTATTTGGATTGTGAGGGAAGTAGACATTTCTAAACTCTTTTATATTTGAATTTTGGACTTTCTGTGCATCCATATCCATTTAGACAATAGAATATTTGGAAGAAAATGTTATGATTTATACCTTAAATTATCATCAAACCTTGTTTCAATGGTGGCGGGCTTTCACATGTTCCATTATTTTTTAAAGAAATTGATGCATTGTTTTAAATTTACATCAAACCGGTACTTACTATACATGTTTGTGATTGCAGATTTTTGAGAAAAACCCTACTAAGATAAAGAACTATGGCATTTGGTTGCGATATCAAAGTCGAACTGGTTATCACAATATGTACAAGGAGTATCGAGACACAACTCTCAATGGTGCCGTGGAACAGATGTACACTGAGATGGCGTCTCGTCATAGAGTGAGGTTTCCTTGTATTCAAATCATCAAGACAGCTACCATCCCAGCGAAACTTTGCAAGAGGGACAACACCAAGCAGTTCCACAACTCCAAGATCAAATTCCCACTGGTAGTCAAGAAGGTCAGACCACCAACTAGGAAGCTTAAGACCACTTACAAGGCTACCAGACCCAACTTGTTCATGTAGTTGTCTTCATGATTGGTGGTGGTAGGCTTAAAGCATGTTGGTATTGGTTGCTTCACTTATTTGATTGAGAGGAGTAATCAAATTTTGAACACTTTCTGTTACAGTTTTTTTTTCATGTTTTGAAGATTGAGGTTTGATGAGTTTAATATAAAATTTGGTTATAATGGTGAATTACAATTATAATATTTGCAAAGTGTAGTGAGTATGAAATGTTTGCATATTTGGTGATAATGGTGTCATGAATGAGGAACTTACATTATATATATATATATATTTGGCTTAATATAAAAAATGGACCAAAATATACCCTTTTTCCAAAGTAGTGTCTAATATTTTTTGTGGTAAATCTGGGTGCCTAACGGCTGACGTTATAAAAGTTACACTTTAGGTGCCTCGGACATTATCACTTTAGGTACTTTGATTGTAACGGTGATTAAAAAAATAAATTGAGTGACATGTCACATTTAGGTACTTTTTTTAATAAAAAATATTATTATATTTAAATAAATTATTTTTTTCTAAAATTATAAAATTGTCCCAAAATCTTAAAAATCTCAAATCCCCAATTTTATGTCTCTTACCGGCTACGACTGCTGACAAAGCCTTTACCATCTCTCTTGTTTGTTGTCATCAGCCTTGCCATTGATATGGCGGTCAGAGTTGTCATGTGTCGCGAATTTCAACCATTTGATTCGTCGGGTTTATTGTCGATTTTATCGTCGGGTGGGGTTTCAGGTGACTGTTTGTCTGGTAACTGACCGTCAGGTGGAGGTGTGTTCGAGTGGTTGGCAGCAACAGCAGCAAAAGTGATGGTCGGTGTTGGTATAAGAGTAAAATTAAGATTTTCAAAGTTTTTGAAGCTTTTTTAAGATTTCTGGAACTTTTGGACTTTATTTCGTTAACAACCGAAACACCTAGAGTGATAGACACTTAGATTGACTGGAAAAAAAATTTGAATGCCACTTTAAAAAAGCGGTATAATTTAACTTTCTTATATTAGGCCTATCTTTTCTGAAATGTTTATGTTTCACCCGTTTCCAAATAATGCGTATAAGATATGATCCTTAAATGGTTATTCTGAAATATTTTTTAAAAAGTTGAATATATTTGTGTCGGATGTAATGGTTTTTTTCTTCTTGATAAACCGAGTACCAGATATGGAGCCCAAATGAGCCTTGCAGAGCCACCTGGGGTGGAAACAAAGCCTATCCAAATAAGCACCGACATAACCCCAACCCACTCGAGTGCAAATCGGAGCACAGGTGAAGTCTAATGAAATTCCATCAAGATACCCAAAAAAGGTAAACAACCTGGACCTACACGTTGGTTAGATAACCCGTTCTTTGAGATCTTTCTTGGGCTGCTTTCAAAGACATGGCTTCACCCAGAGGCTACCTTAGAGTGCTACTCATATGATCGGCAGCATGTCATATCAATCTCTTGCTCTTAGACCTGTCATGTTTAACCATGACACTAGAAAGAGACGGCAAGAGTGGAGGAGATGAAGATGAGAACGACGAGGATGCATAAAGGGAAAAAGGAAGCAAGGAGAGGATGAAGAGAGGTGGAAAGAGGATGGCGGCAACCAGCCCAAAGGCCGGCGCTGCCGCTGGTTAGATCTGCAATGAATATGTGCGAGCAGCACTAGAGAGAGAGAACAAAAAGGGGCAAGTCTAGGGTTTTTTCTTTAGGTGGCAATGAGTTGCATTCTTGCATCATTGGGATCAAGACTGATGGATTTAGTTTTGTTTGGTTGGGCAAAACATTTCGCTTCAAACATTCAAATGGTTATAAGTGATAGAGCACCCAAAACACTTGTGCGTACATACTTATATAAGAGAATGTTTGATAGCAACTCTGCACTAAACCCTTAAGTGCGGACTTCGCTAATATGTAGTGAACTACTCGTACGCACAAATGATGCTTAGATGTCTGGGCATTGTCGGGTTACGAGTGTTATATGATATCTCTCCTAGAAAATAAATTTGAGTCCCAAGTGCAACACAATATAGCCTCTATAGGCAGCATGAACTCGAGAACCATTTGAGGCCAATTAATCTTGCTCACCGGAACAAGCCTTGAATCTAACTCCAATAGTTCAATAACAATTAAGACTGAAGCAATCTCATTGGCAAAGAGAGATTACTTAAAGGAAACACTCAAATTTAATCTTTTACACTCAAAACCTGCAATCTCTATTTCTCTTCATAAATATGCGCACGACGCTAGCCTCTCCCTGATAAAAACAAACAAAATAATATACACAATAGCTGAAACTTCAAAATCATTTGCATCAGTAATGATGACAACATTAATATCATATATATAATGACTATGAAACACTTGGGAAAGACAATCGATCCCGAAGTGTGTCAAAAAGTGAGGAAGCTGCTGCATTTTGTTGAAATGTTAGTTTCAATCTCCCTAGCAATTCACCATCTTTGGCTTGAGATGCTGCATCAGCAGCTTCTTTGGCCATGCCAATCCGAGCATATGCCTGTCAGAACCATAGATGAATCTTGACCAAGGGTAATAAATGATAAAATCTTATTACATCTATTCTAAAAAGAAATTCAACCACTTGCATCTAGTGGTTTAGCGATCAAGAAGAAAAATGAAAACTAATGATTCCCATTGAAAGCTGATGAACTCATCGATCAAATTAGACATGCATTGTTACCTCAGCCCTTTCTCGGAGATCAGCAAGTTTGGGGATATATTTTAGAGCTTCACCTTTTTCATCAGCATCAATGCATGCCTCAACAAATGGCCTATAACCTGTTTGGTGCACAAAGAAAAAAAGAAGAGAAATATACTGTTAAAATAAAAGAAAGCTAACATGCCATTCAGAAAAATAGGAGAAGAAACACTCATTGTGGTGAAAAAACTAATTCAATTAGTGTATTCAGACAAACCCAGCATATATTACAGCATGATCTATTTCTGCATACAAACTCTTTTGAAAAAAAAATGTCAAAGAGAGACTAGAATTTTGCATATGCATTAACTGATACACAAAAGTACTTGTATGTTTACTTAAAAAAACTACGCTGACCTAGTTAAAAGAAATACCTAAACTCGTCTTTCTAAAAAAGCAGCAATTTTTTTTTATAGGAATTGAAGGCCTCATTAAAAACCCCCTTCATGATTGAGGAACTCAGATTGAATTCCTTAATCAGAGGAAGGAGGAAAAGAGTGCCTTATACTTTATTAATAAAAGATACATAAGATTTACAACAACAAGAAGAAACCTTACAAACAATCATAACAACCCATAATAAAAACCCCTAAAAACACACTGAAATTAGCCAATACCAGACTTTGCCAACCCATCAGCCTCTATATTGGCTGTCCTAGCCACCCATCTAATAACTCCCTCCACTTCTTTAAGCTTAACCGCTATTTCACTGACAGTAGGGGCATAGAAAACAGGGCACAAAGTTCCATTCTTAACCCATTCCACTACCATTTTACAATCTGATTCAATAATCAATCGACCCTTAATATCAACTCTCATTGAATCAAAGAAATATAGTCCCTCATGAACAGCCTTTAACTCCATTAGAATAGGAGGACCCGGACCAGTAGCCTTCTTAAAAGAACCTAGAAGTAGACCTTCATCATCTCTTAGAATACCCACAATTCCACTGCTCTTCCAATCACAACTGGTAGCCGCATCCACATTCAGTTTGACAAAGCCCTTAGGGGGGGACCAAGGGATCGTAGAGACAATCGATTTATTGAGAGGGAAATATGAATCCCCAAAGGAAGGGTCACTAATAAGAGAATCCAAAGAAATGACTGAACCTGCAAACTTAGCTAAGAACCAAGATGCAAGCCTTACTCTTGCTAAAAAAAATAAGTTAGTCTGGTATAAATTCCCTCTTTCAAAGACTATCATTTCTAACTTTCCAAACAGTCCAAATAACAGCAGCGGGAATAAAGTTCCAAATCGCAGAACTGGAATTAAGATCTTCCCAAGCCAACAGGAAGTTCTGCGCATTATCTTGAAAAACCGAGCTAATATTCCAATAATGCACAAATTTATTCCAAAGAGACCAAACGACAGAACAAGAAAAGAATAAAAGTGAGGAGGATTCATCAACCAAATTACAAAGAGGACAAGAGAGATCTTCAATATCCGTAACTCCTCTTTTAACCAGTTCAGTCCTCACTGGCAGTTTTTGAAGAACCACCTGCCACATAAAAAACTCAATTCTTGGTGGCACCAATCCTTTCCACAGAACTTTCTTCCAAAAAGAATTCTCCTGGGAACCCGGGGAACAAATATTCACACACGAATTTACAGAATAAACACCAGCCCCATTCCCTTTCCAGATCAGAGCATCGCTGGCCTCTTTAGACAAACAAAAATTAGAAATGATAGTAAAAACGCAGCAAATTAAATTATAATATAAACAAATATCTCTACTTTTCCCATTTTCTTTGTTTTTTTCCTTTGCCTAATTCTTTTGTCCCTACCAAACTGACGATAAAGGTACAAAAAAGGGGAAGAACGTAAATCTTAAGAAAATCCAACCCGCACTACTTCAACTTGTGATGTTCATTTAGAACCTAAGCTTTGGTAATATCAAGTAAGAAAGATCGCTCGGAAACAACAGCATTATATATCTTTCATAATAGCAAGTAACTGAGATCACTTGCAGATAATGCTTGACTATGTCATCTATCTGAGTCCCATAATTGAAACAAAAGTGTTGATAGCTTACCAATTGGTGGTCTCTTCTCTTTCGAAAACTTCTCAAGAGCTTCCCAATCTCTGATTGTAGCCAAAGCAAAAACTTTAAGCCAATACCATCTCTTCTCAGAAACCTGAGACAAGGGGAAAAAGTGATTCAATAGGTGATCAGAGCAATCTGAAAGCAAGAAGCCAAAACTCAGAGAAACTGATGAATTGATGAAATATCTTGTGTCACCAAGGAAAATTCTTCCAACAAGATAGAATATAGGGCAAACTTTTGGTGATGTCAAATAGAAAGCAGGGGAAGTTTATGAACCTTGAACTCATTCTTCACTTTCATTGCAGCCCGATGATTCCCCAGAACAATACATGTACGTATAGTATCACTGATACTTGAATCAACAAATATGGCCTGCTTTGTACTTACTTCTAACTCAT